TAGCTAGAGATCCACTCCGATGACTGCAGTGAGGGCCCGGCGCTGCGTCGCCCATGCGGGGCAGACCGCCAGCGTGTGCTGGGCCGAGTCCTCACTGCAGTCGCAGTGGTGGCAGGCGGGACTCAGTTCCCTCCTAGCGACCGAGTGCAGGTACTTTCCGAAGCAACCGTGCCCGGAAAGCACCTGCGTCAGCCGGAAGGTAAGGGTAAAGGTAAGGCTGGAGAGCCTCAGCGCGTGGAGTCTCCAGCCAGAACGACCAACGAGCCATCGTGGCTCGGCGAGCGGCTTCGCGCCACTCGCGCACATCCTCGGGCGGAGGGCGAAATCCGCTCTCCGCCCGGGAGTCAGCCACTCGCCGCCCACACCGGTGCACCGTATAGTGCCATTGACCGGACAACCCCCGTGTACAGCCGTCTTGTCGCGACGCTGGGTCCACCCAAATTGGGCAAAAGTCGCCCTAGGGCAGACGCAGCGCCGACCAGCTTTGGAGCAAGCTGTCGGAAGTGCTCGTCGAAGAGCCACCTCCCGTCGAGGATCAGGCCCAGATATTTCATCTGGGCCCGAACCGGTACGAGAAATTACACCCAGCCCGGGGGGGAAATCGGCTCGAAGGGCCCAGTCGTACCCTATGTTCCACAAGAGGGGTCCAAGAACAGACCCCTGTGGAACACCGCACGACATGGGCCGACACCTCAAATTACCCTCTCCGTCCTCGTACACGACGGTACGCTCCTCTAAATAGTCTGCCACTAGCCGCCTCAGGTACTTTGGCACCCCATGATAGTGGAGTGCTTCCCTGATGCAGCTGAATGGCAGACTATTGAATGCGTTGGCGATGTCCAATGACACCGCCAACAGCACGCCGCCACAGCTCACGGCATCTTCGGTCACGGCATCTTCGGTCACGGCCCTCAGGCGATCTTGACACAAACCCTAAACCAACCCGTCTGGACAATCTTTAAACAAAATTAACGAATTACACAAATATAATTGTTGTGTCCTATGATGTTATCGAACACGGGTAATCGACACTTTTCAACGAGAGAATGAGATCTTCGGAGACCCGCACCTTCTTTTATTTTTAAGTACGTAAGTAAGTAAGTGTGTCTTCAGTGTTTTAGGTGTTCGTGGGCGGCGATAGATAGCTACATACCATCAGGTGGCCAGCGAAAGAAAATATTTTTCCGAATATATTTTTTTTTTAAATCGTAATTCAATTTTTTGATGTTTCGAATTATCGTTAAGTCGGACTTTTTGTTTTTCGATCTATTGAAACTCGGTATTTTGAGCATAATAATTATAAACGTTAGGAATATTGAAATTTTTGAATTATAAAAATAGGATGAATGATAAATCGGAGTTGTTATACACGGTGATTTTGAAAGCGTTTTGGAAACGAAATATTTGAATTTGGAATCATCTATAGTACCAATAAAAATGATTAAATCAATTGTAATGTTGTCTAAAAAAAAGTTTCAGTTTTAATATTCATTTTTACTCGATCGACTTGGAAAGTAGTAATGGACTGATCGTTCATTCATTATCTTATATGAATGAAACACGTCCGTGGGCGTTTCGGCGGCCGCTGCGCACCGCCGACGCTAACAGCAGCTGACAAAAGTATACCTATAGGCGCGAGCTAGCGAGTACTTACGTAGATAAACTCCAATTTGTCCTTCATACTTTACACGGGCTTAGGACCGTCAGAAATACCTATTTTATTTAAACTTATTTTCGATTATTAACCACGATTGTTCTTTTCACAACAAATCAATTTATCAACGGACTGTAGGTATAAATATTTCAGGCGTATTTAAAAAATCGGAGCTATCTACAGAATAATTAACTTACATACCTATTTACACTATTTACAGTTCTCTGTATCGAAGGAACTGCTCAAAATGGAGTCCGCTGCATTCAATACACAAACGTCCACGTTTAATGCAATTGTTTTTTAATTTTCTTAATGTGTCTCTATCACTTTTCACTTTATCAAAAGCGTCCACTATCGCAATGCGTAAATTATCACGGCTTTCATATTCCCGTGTATTAACAAGTCTTTTTATTTCCGACCATAAGAAAAAATCCAGGGGCGTTAAGTCCGGGCTTCTCTAGGTGGCCAAGGCACTGGCCCTCCTCGACCTATCCACCGATCACTAAGCTCATTGTCCAGGTATGCACGAACTACACTCCGGCGAATAATAATTAAAACGTCCTTGACCTTGCGCATGAGTAGGCGCACAAAATTTTCCGTGGTCGAGAAGACGTTGGGTTGCAGCCAAGATGGTAGGTGTGGAGGGAATTTGAGGGCTTTCAATTCCACGTAGCCGTAGTGCATTTAAATGCTCCGGCTGGGAATACAAACGCCGAGCCTCTTCCAAGTTGTAGTTGGCAGTAGCGTACAGCTGTACCATTGCCAAGAAGTATTCCACGTTTGAAAATTCGTACTGTCGACTCATTTTAGCGCTAATCAATGCAGCGTGCCGTCACGATGTTATGGTATTACTGACCGACTGACGATGACAGGTGAGCCCCGCGCATGCGCCTACGGGGCAGACGTCATTGGTTGGACGACTCCGGCGCAACTCGGTAGCTTTGTTTTTATTGGCGAATACGATTTGATGTGACTCGATATTAAAACGCATAGTATTTCTATTCGTAGTATTTACCTACGTGTGATTGAATAGCCCACTACTACTGGTTCTGACTTTTTCTCTGTAAACGATATGAATATCGACTTTGATGATAAAAAAAATATATATTTTATTAAATTAATGTTATATATAGCTTCTGTTACTGATAAATAATTCAAAATTTTCTTTTCCAAAACGCTTTCAAAATCACCGTGTATTAGGCATTTTGAACCATTCGGAATTATGAAAATCGGTATTTTGAAATTCGTATTTGTGACTGACGGAATAAAGTTTTTCGTATTTATGTAGTGTACCCGTATATACTCTAAATTATGATAAATTGTAATTCTTCAGCCCTTAAATGTCCCCAAGTCTTAGAGAAGGAAAACTTCCTTAAAGCGACCGCCTACGCTTGAGCACAACTTAGTAAATAAATAGAGCAGATACTGTAACGCACATACTTTACTTTTGTTTACTTATGTTTATTTGTGTGCTTCTAATCTAACACCGATCAGTAGTACATAGTATGTCGAACTATCTGAGTAAAATTCAATGAGTTTGAAGGTAACCACCGTGGTAGTAAACACACACACAGTAATAGAATTTTATACGTATGGTTTAAAATCAGTATGTTTCTACTAAATTATTATTATTATAAACAAAAAATTCTTTACCATCTGGAAGCTATCATTCGCTTGAGCAACGTGATAGCACAATGTCTTTGTCTGATCTTTCAAGAAAAAAATGTGTGATGATTGGATGGTATCAGTAGAATAATACAACACGTATTGTATAATGCCTTTTTACAGCTGTCATTTAGATATAATTGTCAATTAAGAAAATAATTATAAATTAATGTCTACAAACACCTCGCTTGCTTTATCCTAAAAAGTTATTTAGCAGGAAAAAGAAAGGTGGATATTAAAGTAAAGAGCCATAAGACGACACCGTTTTTTACATTCGAAGTGACAATCTTCAGAACAATATGAAATTAACGATGTTCCATTTGCACAAACTGGATATCATCCACATAAGTTTACAATTATTTTGGAGCGAATTTCCTTATCGCGCGTTACACGCTCTGAGCGGATGGGAGCGAGACCGAAAAATGTGTAACAAGATTTTTTTGCCGACACTTCAGTTGGCTCGTCGACGCTCACATCTTTTTATATTTCATATATCAAACGTCTATCAAAAAGCGAAAGGAACTTCGTTCCGACCGGGGGTCCATAGACACCTCACGCCGTTTTATTGCTCTAGAGCGGATCTCAAATCTTACCATAATAAACATACTATTTTTCATCGATACAAGGCAAAAGAAGATATAAGCACATGGAGTATACAAAAATTCTGAAGACAGCGAAGAATAAGAATTCAATGAAGTTGTAGATGAAAATACTATCTAGATGCTTAAATTCGATGCAAACAGTGCAAGATAAACAAAATGTAACAAAGACAAAAAAATAACAGTTTTTTTTTTAAATAACCTCAGAATAAGTAGGAATGGTGTCAGAGAAATATATAGTAGTACTCGTAGCTATATATAGTAGCTACGTATATATACCTGGACTTATACCTAGCCTACCTGCTTATTTAAAGTAAAATAATATCTAGCACGTAAAAGGACTTGAAGCTCAAGGGAATGCAGTGAGCATCATGATAGATTTAAAATCTTTTCTTGGTTCAATGAAGGTCTTATAAATAATAGAATATAAGATAATTTGAATAAAATATATTAATGTAGGTATATAATCTATAGATGAAATAAATAAATCGACTGCACGGATGGCGTAGTGGTTTAAGCGGTCGCCACGCCGCTTCCTACTACGCCGAGTGTTGTGGGTTCAAACCCCACATGGGACGACACTTTGTGTGATCCACAAATTGTTGTTCCAAGTCTGGGTGTTATTTGTGTCCGTTTCATGTATGTTTGTAAAGTCCCCCGCGACACAGGATATTTTCCTAAGGCGGGAGTTGTCTTTAAAAAAAAAAAAAAAAAAAAAAAAAAAAAAAAAAAAAAAAAAAAAAAAAAAAAAAAAAAAAAAACTCCTAATATTCTACCATGAGTTGAGCAATGGTATAAAGGCTCATCGCTACGTCACGCCAAATGTATGGGGTTCACATTCAATATTCGACAGAAATTTGTGTTATCCACAATTAACTGTCTCCAGTCACGGTGTTCTTTTTGTCAATTGTTTGTGGTTCATGAAGTCCCTTGTATCACAGGCAATTGTTTCTGGTACAAATGTTGTATATTGAAATTTAAAAAATAAATAAAGCGTTATCTAAAATTAAATAACATAATTGCTTCACTTTTATAATCTTTATTAGATATCACGATACCAAGAGTTATATTGTACGAGTAGATTATATGGTTTGGATATCATTTTCTTCATCGTAATCCTCAAACTTGTAGTCTATGTTACTTAAAAGTGTTGAATTCGGCGGCAACCATTCACAGCTCGTAAATTGAGATGAACAAACCTGAAAAAAATAAAACCAAAATGTGTACAATATTATATCTACGTATACAATTATATTCATCATTATCAGATATGGTAATCAGGCAATATTACAGATATATTTGTTTTTTAAACAACTCTCGCACTAGGAATATATCCTTTGTCGCGGGAGCATTTGTATCGCAATTCATTAATATAACCATCACAATGTTTTAAAAACAATATTATATTAATGGAAGTCAGTAGGTAGTTAGTATTTTGCTGAAAATTAAATGTAAGATTTAGAGTTTTAAGTCAAAAAAATAGACAGTTGTGTGATATTGTAACAAAAGCTTCAAAATGTATATGTATTATTTTAGAATGAGCAACTCTCAATTTGTGTAATTGTGAGAAAGTTTCAAGAGAATAAAAGTTTATGTGATTTTTTGCAAGTGCTACAATTTTTTTTATCTATTTATTTTATTTATTGAGGTCTTTCACAGCTGATAGTAGGTCATCATCATCATCAACAGCCTTTACTAGTCCACTGCTGGACATGGGCCACTCCTTAGAAAGGAGGGTTAATCCTACTATACCACGCTGGCCAGACGGGTTGGTATAGGGTTTATTTCAAGTTTTCCTTCTCTTTGCAGTGCTGTTGTCCTGCTATCCAAATTTACAGAGTATTACGCCAATTAAGAAGTACACAATATATCAGGTATTAGATAAGTAAACAAAAGTGAACCTGTATTAATTACTGCTTACATGCATATACATAATGTTAATAAAGTGTGTGTTATGATTGCAGTAAGTATGTCGCAAGTAATATTATGTAGTATGGTAAGTATTACGTCTACGTGTATATGTGTGTGTTTGTGTGTATGTATATGTGTGAAAGGGTAGGTATGTGTGTGTTTATATACTTGTGCCTTGTGTATAGTTGCGTCAGGCACCCTGATGCTAGTTGTTAGATATTTTTGCCTAAGGATGTACGAGTACGAGTATGTCAAGTACGTTTGGGAGGCACGTTACAGTTTACACTCCCTAAGAGTTCCGGACAATCAAGTTTATTTTGAAATATATCGTATGGAAGTAGCATATCTGATATTCATTCAATTTTGTAACTAATTTCATTTCAAGCTTACAATCATTTAAAATTAAAAAAATCTACCCTTGTGTGCAGAATGGCCAATAGTTTATACATCTATTGAGTTCTGACGAATCAATAAAAATTATCATGACTAAATAACATAAATATCTAAGATCTTTTTATTTATTTATATAGCGCCGATTTAAAAATAATAATCTTAAATAGAGATTTAGATTCAAAACTTAGTCATTAACACTTTTTTTCTGTTGTGTTAATTTTTATAAGACAAAAAGTTTTTCGACGGAGGCTTACATATCACCATCTTCTAAAACTTTTTGGAAATTAATTTTGGGTTTGTGTAATGAGTTTTCTTCTTCTAATATCTTCTATCACTCGTCAGTTCATTGCTTATTCCCTTCCTAGGCTTTTCCGCTCTCACGCAGTCCATAAATATTTTCTCTGGTCGTCCTCTACTCTTGTATCCGTCAACTTTCATGCTTAAAACGGTCTTCACTACATTTTGCTAATCTCTACGCATCACATGTTCATACCAGGATAACCTGATGCTTCTGAACTTTTCATCCACTGGTGCTACTTTCGGACTTTGTCCATTCTAGTCACACCACCACCACCATCCATCTTAGTATTTGCATTTTAGCTACGTCCTTCATCCCTTTTCTTTGTTAGTCAACACTCAGATTCATGCAGGACGGCAGATCTGATCATCGTTTTGTGTATTTGTCTCTTTAAGGAATATGAAATGTGGGATCGCAAATAGTTCCTGTTACCTGCCGCACTTCATCCATCCTATATTGATTCGAAGCTGTACAGAGCTATATATTTCGATATTTATTTATTTATCTTTATGCACTTTTGTACATCGGCGGACTTAATGCCCAGGGCATTCTCTTCCAGTCAACCTTTGGGTGATGTAGAAATCTTGTAAGGTAGGTGCACAGAGGTTACATCATAATATCAAATGTACAATGAAAATATATACGGTTCACTACATATATAAACATATACACACATACTACACTTACACATCATAAATACGCATAGATACATATACATATAGATAGATATAGATATACATAAGAGCGAGCCGAGGTACTTGAAATCGGTGCAGATTAAAATCGCTGTTCCATTCAGTGATAGCAGTAGCATACGTAACACGCAACCATATACCAAATCTGTACGCTAATTGTGTATTAATAATATATAGAAAACCGGTTATTTTAAAACTTAGAGAAGAAGGAGTTCGCAAGTAAGAAAACTTGTAATACTATTTACTTTGCACAATGATTTTTGTAAAGAGGTAATTTGTTTTAAAATATTTCTTTAAAGACAGGCTTAGCGATCTAGTTCTGTTTATTCACTTCTGCAAGTTAAGTTTTTATACATCTACAAAAACAAAAATAACATGTTGTTTGTTGGTAGTGTCAAGTCTAATTCTTGAGAATAATAACCCCGGCTTTACAAATTATCATTTTAGGTTATTTACTATTGTCCTAATTGCTGTAATGTGTAAAACAAAAAGAAATGTAAGCCGGTAAACCAAAATTGGAAAATTGTGGCTGTACATAGAAAGCGATTTATAATGGGATTAATTGATGATTTCTGTAATTTATCATAATGCCTTCTGTAATTTATCATAGTGACTGCAATGAACACTGCGAAGAGACTGCACTCCAACTCGTCTGGCCAGTGTGGTATAGTAGGCCAAAACCTCCTTTCTAATGAGAGGCCCGTGTGCAGCAGTGGACTATTAAAGGCTGTTGATGATGATGATGAGTCAAAATTCATGTTTATGTCATTTAAGATTTATGACATCAATTTGTTCTTTTTTTTTTATTTAATTATGTTTTTGGATCTATATGTAACCGAGTTTTAGTTTTGGTGGTTTTTGGTGGATTGGGCTATTTTATTATTTCAATACTACTTTATTTAACCCTATTCTAATTCCTAGAATTCCTGGAAATTTATTTAAATTTGTGACACAAATAATTACAGTTTGGAACTCTCAGAAAACAATCGTGTGGAAAGCAAAACCACACGATAGGCCAATGAGATTAATATTATACTCGTACATGGGTATTGCGGCAATAATGTGAACAAAATGTTATATAATTATTACTTACTCCCTATTTCTTAATAAAGTTTTAGACGTAGTAAAAGTACCAATTTGGCAATTTCATTATTCAGGCTAAAATTCAACTTTTGAGCACTTTAAACTTCCTTGAAATAATAACTCTCTGTGAAGTTGTTGGAGAGTTAAGTCAACTTAGAGTTTGATATTATATTTTATTAAGTAGTAAAGGAATCAACTCTTATCACTTGAACCGAAAAAGGCAAAAATAGCCATGATATTTTAAGCATTACTGAAATTATTAAAAGAGCTAGAAGTCCGCCTCGAATATATTGAATACACTGAGAAAAGGAACTTGATTAATCTAAATCCTTAATTTAAAATGACTGATGATTGTTTTTTTTTTTATTTATGCAGTGGGTAACTAAAATTTTATTTTGCTGATCATCAACAGCCTTTAATAGTCCACTTCTGGACATAGGCCTCTCCTTAGAAAGTTTTGGCCTACTATACCATGCTGGCCAGACGTTTTTGTCAAGTTTTCTTTCTCTTAGCAGTGCTGTTTTCCTGAGTAGTTTGCTCTCTTAGTCGTCTCTTACGACACCCATGGGATAAATAGGTGACACTCCGTATTCTTAATCCGTCACTGTGCTACACGGACATTATTTTGCTGGATTTTCTTAATTTTTTGTTTGTTTACTTTCTTACTAACTGTTCATTTCCTATTTACAAAAACTCTATTTTCAGAATGATTTCTAAAGAAGTTAAGATCGGTTTCTCTGAAAAATTAAATAAAGCAAATAGAAAAAAATATATAGAGCGTTAATTAGATGACGGACGGACGGATGACAGAAGTGGTCTAAAATATGTGCTACTATGTCGTAGAGCTAAATTTTTTATATAATAATAGATATACATCATTTTAGTTACAAATTTAATGAGGGATAGTTTAAATAATATGTTACAATTACACAATCATAACCTACGTGTGTAGCACCAACCTTCGTGTTACACTTACCGGGTTAAAAATAGTAGAATTTTATAACAATCAAAACGTTGATACTATATTTATTGAGCTGACAGTGTTTGGAGCGAAGTATATTCAATAACAGAGATGTTGCATTTTTCAGTGAAATGCTTTAAGCCACTTGAATATACGAAATGCCGGCTGTTTTATTTAAACAAAAGATACTTGCTTTAGTTTTAAATAATGGTGAGTCAAAATGTGACAGGTTTTAAACGTCGTAATATGCACGTTTATTGAAGAAATAAACAAAACAATTTTATTATAGACTTATCTGATTTACAATTATTGTTTGTTCATCATTATCGTTAATGGCATGATCTCCTATTTTTTTTTAAATCCTTGTTTATTGTAAAACCATAATTTCCATATAATAATAGAATTAATTACATACAATACATCTTGAAAATCTACAGTACATTTTCACTTAGACTTAAACCTGTGCAATTTTGTCGTCAATTTTCAAGTTTCTTCTATCATGACTCGTGTTCTATTAATCGTGGCGCCATTGCCACCTTGGAACTGATGGTTTAACAAATTAAACTTAAAAAAGTTGTTAAATATTATGACATAAATTGAAGACTAAACATATATTCAAATCTTTATTATAATTTCAATTATTACTGTTTAAATTATAAACTTTACACTTTTGAAGGCAGATAAGCTCACACAACATTGCTTAACCATTTCAAAATTTGATACAGAACTTAATAACACAAAATAAGGGAACGAAATAGGCTTACATTACACACAACCGTATCAGAAATACTTGCCGTTTGACATATTCTGTTTTGGTTTTGATATTTGATTATTGGTTATAAAATGAGAGCAATACTTTAG